AAAGAGCTTTATTTTTTTGTGTCAGCACTCAAGTATTGAAAACATTTCCTCCTGGGCAAAAACTTCAAGATCTTTTCAGATCACTCCACTCTGCAGTGGATGAAGTCCCAGGGAGAACCGAACGACAAGCTTGCTCGCTACATCCATTTCATTGACATGTTTGACTTTGAACTGAAAAATAAGAAGGACTGCTACAATTGAGTAGCAAACGCTCTCTCGCGTAGGTTTGACGCTCTCTTTCTGATATTTTTCACACACTCTTTTGAAGAGAAGACTTCAGACCATTGCCCGTTTGCTGGCCCAGGATGCGATTTTTGGACCTATAATGAAGAATCTCCAGATTGATCATGCCTCTCAGTCAGGATACACTATGATATCAGATCTGTTGTACACATATAGTAGAGGTGAGGAACGCCTATGCATTCCCTAGGACCGTAAGCTGAGGACACTTCTGATGTCAGAGTGTCATGATGCTCGTGGTCACTTTGGAGCCCTCAAATCGTATGCAGCTCTATCGCAACGCTTCTTCTGGAAGGAGACGAGGAGTGATATGCTACACTATGTGGAAACCTGTGAGTTATGCCAGAGGAATAAGGTGGTACGCCGACCTCCCCTTGGCCTACTCAAACCACTACCCATTCCTAATGCTTATGCACAGTCAGTGTCTATTGACTTTACTGATCTGGGAAGGACCACGCCTCATGGTATGCGTCATGTTATGATATATGTAGACCAGTCCCCCAAGTATGCAGAGTTCATCCCCTTAGCAGTTGAAGCATGTGTGCCCGCTGTTAAGTTAGTTTTTGCTGACATATGGGTTACACATCATGGATCACCCACCTCCATTGTCAGTGACGGAGATCCTCGTTTCTGCAACAATGAATGACAATCCTAATTCAGGGATTACCTTCATTCCAGACTGGACATGACATCCGGTCGTCATCCTGAAGCCAATGGTCAGGCTGATGTAATGGACCAGATTCTATTTCAATTGTTGCGTCTTGTGATCCGTCCAGATCAGCAGAACTGGGATCTCTATTTGAGTCGTGCACAACTTATGTATAACACTTTTGTACACTCCTCCACAGGCTTTACACCCTACCGGTTGCACTGGGGTCGTGAGCCACCACAGCCTGTCGATGACATCATCGATAAGGCTATCCATACGTTGACACCTGGAACTGCAGAGATCACCAGGCGTTACCGTTTGGACATAGAACGCGTTCGTGGCAACCTGCTCAAAACCCAAAAGACTATGAGCCAGCACGCTAATCAGCACAAACGTCCTTCTACTATTCGCAAACGTGACTGAGTGTGGGTACTCAGTTATGAGTAGTCACGAGAGAAGGACGTGGCCTCTCTCTCTTTTTTTTTTTTCCTTTTTTTTTTTTTTTTTTTTTTTTTTTCTCTCTCTCACACACACACACACAACGCTCTCTCTCACACACACCTGTCGGCGAGTGTGGAATCAGGCCATGCGGGTGGGGGGAAGAAAGGGCGGGGACGACTGAGAGGGCGGAAGGTCGTACAGTCGCGTTCGCACTCTTTCTTCCGCCTTTCGCTTTCTCTCTTCCTCCAACGCCTTCTCTTTGCCCTCTTCCCCCCCCCCCCCTTTCCCCATCGCCACAGCGTCACTGCGTCGGGTCCACTTGTATATATAAATATTTCCTTAAACTCTTCCTGCAGCCTAGTACAGGAAGGCCAGGTCTCCATCTTGGCCCACCATAGTCTGGGTGATCAAGCCAGATCTATGGCTCACCGCGTTGTTATTTCAGCGGTAGTGCACTCGCAGGTTGCACCACGATAGACTTTTCTCCTGATAAGTATCCGACCAGGACTCAAAAATACTGAATTGACTTGACTCTTATCCCACTCCGTCCCGCAGGAAGTAAAACCCTTTTAGGCGGTCACACCTTTTAAGTTTTTACTCCTTTGGTAAGACGTAGACCCGTTGTCCAGGTTACGCTGATCAACAACTGACACTAGGGGTTGCGCCCTAGTGATGTTAAACTTTACGGTTAGCTTGGTCTTTTTTGCAAATGCCCTAAGATTAGCACAAGTGGCTGAACGGTGTGTCGCAATAATACAGGCCTATTGCGGGACTACGCAAAGGTCTGTCACACATAAAAGACATTTACCATCTCTCTATAGGACAACACAGAGAGCACGGCATCCTCTACATTTTCACAAAACAGAATCACCGCCAGGTTCACAAGGTCATGACCTCCCAACTTGATCAGAACAAGAAAGTCACACATCTCAATGACATCTCCCAAATAAATCATTTTTGCGACCTTCCAAATTTTCACCAATGGTCAAACAAAAACTTGGTCCTTCTTGTCAGACTTTATCTTTCAAACCAGCTTCCCATGCCATTAAATCTTTTAACGACCTTTCAGTCAAAGGAGGTCTCACTCATTAAGTCCCCTTGTCATTCCTTCCTTCTCTAGGATGAAATCTCACGCGACCTTTTCTTAAAACACCTTCCCTCTCTAAAGATGAGTCTCCAAATAAGCAAAAGACTACCTTCCCACTCGAAGGTGTCACAACCATAAAACAAATCAAACTGAGAGACCAACTTATGGGTCCTTATCACAACTCAACAATGAACATTCGGCATGGTAAGCATTCAAATCTCAAAGACACGTGAATCCCTGGGGATTCTCACACCCTTCACAAAAACAGACTGCATTTCCTACCCTTATACCCGACTCTTATCATCTGTCCGTGGGCAGATCGCACGAGTATACCGAAGAGCAGACATATTACATCCATTCATATTCACGAAATACATACCATAGGAGATGTTCCTCAAACACCTCTCACACAAAATCATCATACACCAGGATAAATCCACACATGTGAGAGTGATTGTGATCGTCATATACAAAAGATAACCCCAAATAAAGTCTCAACTCAAAGTTCACTCAAGGATGAGATATCTCATCCAAAATGTAAGTAATTTCTTAACTCATGACTCACTTGGACTATGTAGAACTACTCTCAATATAGTATAAGCGTAATCATCCTGCAAAAAAATGCACTCAAAGTCAGAACTGATGCTGACTCTCGGGGTCAAAAGAGAAATAGTCTTACTATACACTTATTACCCTCTAAACCCCGATCCCCATGTCACTAAAGAAAAACTCAATGACAATCATACGCTGTAATCCCTTATTTGTACAATTAACAGCACAGGTACCTATGATCCTAAGAAGACAAAGACAAAACAAGGGTAAGGATAAGTATCTGACCCTAAAATACGCACACTCGAATCAGACTCATAGTATCACAATGTCTATCAATACATAAGCGAACCAACCCCTACTCACTCATCTCTTCCTGGTTCTGCGTGTAGAACTGAGACCTGTTCCCATCGACAGATCGCTCCACTACTCTACCATGTCTATCGTACATCTTTTCATCTCTGTCTGTGACCTTTCCTGCTGCCTTATCCTTGAGGAACTTCAGACACTGCAGGGCTCGATGTTCCGCTTTCTTGCAGAAAAAACAGGTTAGGTCATACAACTTCCTGGGCCTCTTTTTCTTTGAGACCCTGGTGACGAAGGTGCCTCAATGGCCTCTCTGGTCACCTCATGGCTCTGGGGTATATCCATAGGCTACTCATGTCTCACCTCCAACCCCTGAGTACTCCACTCTATTTATATCCCAACTCCCTCAGGCATGCACTCAGGAGTATTTAACCTCTGTGTTCTACCCCTGAAAACACCCTCCATCGCAACTACCATCTCTCCCTCACGAGGCTCCTTCACTCTCTGCTCAGGCATAAACATACTCGCCCCTTCCTACATAGTGATGACTGTCTTGAGGATCACGTCCATCGAACTCTCATCAGATCCAGGCGCAGGCTCACTGGCAGTTGTTCGTGGCCTATCTCCTACATGTATTAGCACGGACTCTGTCGCTGGCCCAGAAGAAGCTACAGGCTGGGTGACAAACTCTGTAGGTGCCTGAAACTCACAGACCTCCTTTTCAACTTCCCTCTTTGTTTTTGCCTCCTCTGGCTCTAGGCACAAGCGGTTATCGGGTAGCTGAAAATTCATGAATGAAAATTATGAAGTGAGAGTTTTGGGCAGTCTGAAAATCCTGAATGGTCCTGAAGTGGTGAAAGGTCCGAAGACCATGAAAACCACTTGTTTAGGCAAGTTGCATCCTGAAGTGCTGAAGAGTGTCATGAAGTGG